TTTCCTGCAAACCTTTTAAATAAAGCTGACAACCAGTCAGATTTTGATGAAAGCCTGCTGTGCGGTCTACCTTTGTCCCAGGGAAGGAGATCCCCCACCTGAGCTAACCCCACATGGGTGGATTTGGCGGGCAACTTCCTGAGCAAGTGGGAAGATGGAGGAAATAATAAGAGCCTTGCTGCAGGCAATGCAGCACAACGGGAGACAAATCGCCAGTTTGCGGAAGCCCAAGAAGCAGACCGAGAGCTCCTTAGGCAGGTGGCCCAACACCTACTAGAATTAAAGAAGGAATCTGCAGATCCGCTGCCAGGGGAGCAGAAAATGGTGCGGGCCAGCTATGTGTTGCAGAAAATGACACCTGCGGATGATGTGGAGGCCTACCTCACAACTTTTGAAAGGGTTGCTGTTCGGGAAGGATGGAAAAAGGAGCAATGGGCAGGACTGCTTGCACCATTTTTGACAGGTGAATCCCAAAAAGCCTATTATGACCTGGAGCCAGGGGATGCCCAGGACTATGAGAAACTAAAGGCTGAGGTCCTGGCATGCCTGGGTGTCACCACTGCAGTCCGGGCTCAGCGGGTGCATCAGTGGCATTACAGGGCGGACAAACCACCCAGATCTCAGATGTTCGATCTGATACATCTCTCCAAAAAGTGGCTCCAGCCAGGGGTATTGTCAGGCCCTCAGATTGTGGAGCGGGTGGGTCATGGACCAATATTTGCGTGCACTCCCTGCCACTTTGAGGAAGTGGGTCGGCCGTGGAGGAGACCTAAATCTGCAAACGAGCTGGTGGACCTGGTGGAGAGATATGCAGCCGCTGAGGACTTTTTCCATTCACCTGGGCCGTACCCCAATGTCACTAGGGGTGGAAAACTATCCGGAGATCCGGTAAGACTGTTCCATGGGCCAAAGGCTCAGAAAAAAATGATAAGACTATTGTGTCAGATAATGAGACTGTAGGCTTAGGACCTAGAGACTGGCCAAATAGGTCAGGAAGGTCCCCAAAGCCATTTAGAGGTCTAAGCACTGAACATATAATATGTTATCGTTGTCATGCGTTAGGTCATATTGCTGCAAACTGTCCTTTAAATGATGAACCTATGCAATGTGAAAATGCGTATTTAGGAAAACGCATGTCTCTGTTTGCACAGGTGGTATGTACTGCAGCATGTCAGAAACGCATGGAAAAGCAAATGTGTGTGATTGCCATTGATGAAAAGCCAGTAACTGCTCTGCTAGACTCGGGTAGTGTTGTGACCTTGGTTAAGAGTGATTTGGTAAACCCTGCAAGCTTACACCCTAGCATGATTGGGGTTATTTGTATTCATGGTGATACACGTAATTACCAGACTGCTCTGGTGGAGATTGGTACTCCCTGGGCCCTGTGACCCATTCAGTGGGGGTGGTGCCCTCTCTCTGCTTCATGAAGCCATATTGGGGAGAGATTTTCCCCATTTCTGGAAGTTATGGGATAAGGAGGGGAGTCAGGAGGACCGAGCTCCCCCTGCTGGGGAAACAAAGAAAACTCCTGAACTCACTCCTGACCCCTTTGACGGCAAGGTGGAAGGGGAAACTGTCGGTGTGTCCGAGGAAGGCGTAGATCTTTTCCCTTTATCTGTAATGGCTGGGGAGCAGGAGGAGTTGGATCCAACCCCAGACATTGAGGAGATAGAGCAAGAGATGATCGCTGGCTCTAGTGAGAGTGGACAGAATGTGGTGCCTGACCTAGAGGTCAGAAAAGAGGATTTCTGTACGGAACAACTGAAAGATTCCACACTTAATAGAGCCCGTGAAAACATTAAAAATGATTGATGGGGAACCAGTGGAAAATGATGTAGCGGTGTCTTTTCCCTACATGGCTCTTAACAATAACTTGCTGTATCAAGTGGTAAAGCAGGGGGAGGAGGTGGTAGAACAGTTAGTGGTCCCCAAACCCTTTCGCCGGATGGTACTGGATTTAGCCCATGGGCATATAATGGGTGGACACCTGGGTGTAGAGAAAACAAAGGAGAGAATAACCCAGAGATTCTTTTGGCCAGGCTTACATGGAGACGTCAAAGCGCATTGTGAGTCATGTCCGGAATGTCAATATTCCGCGCCCTCACCCCATTTTCGCAGTCCGCTAGTACCTCTACCCATAATTGAAGTACCGTTTGAAAGAGTGGGCATGGACCTGGTGGGTCCAGTAGTAAAGTCTGCCCAGGGCCATCAGCACATACTGGTTATACTTGACTATGCCACCCGGTATCCTGAAGCCATCCCCTTGCGTAATACCCTCCGCTAAAAATATCGCCAAAGAGCTTGTCCGGGTGTTTAGTCGTGTAGGTATCCCAAAGAAGATATTAACGGATCAGGGCACGCCATTTATGTCTAGAGTTATGAAAGAGTTATGCAAATTGTTCAAAATCTCCCATCTCCGTACCTCGGTCTACCACCCCCAAACCGATGGGCTTGTGGAAAGGTTTAAGGTCTGTAGGGTAATCAAGACCCTTAAGAATATGTTAAAAAAGGTGGTGGACAAAGATGGGAGAAATTGGGATTTTTTGCTACCATATCTCATGTTTGCTATACGAGAAGTACCTCAGGCATCTACAGGATATTCACCTTTTGAATTACTGTATGGTAGACATCCCAGGGGATTGCTAGATGTCGCAAAAGAAACCTGGGAGGGAGAGACCACGCCCTATAGAAGTGTCATCGAGCATATCTCACAGATGCAGGATAGAATCGCAGCTGTCATGCCACTTGTTCGGGAACACATGGAGCAAGCCCAGGAGGTCCAAAGAAGGGTTTATAACCGGGGTGCCAGGATCCGTACCTTCAACCCTGGGGATAGAGTGCTGGTGCTAGTCCCCACCGTGGAAAGTAAATTCCTCGCAAAGTGGCAAGGTCCCTTTGAAATTAGGGAGAAAGTGGGGGAAGTAAATTATAAAGTTTACCAGCCAGGAAAAAGGAAACCCGAACAGATCTATCATGTGAATCTCTTAAAAACCTTGGAAAGACAGGGAAAGTTTGTTGGCAGTACCAAGACCCCAAAAGGACGTGGTTCCCGTGGCCCCTCAGGTACCTATAACGGAAACCTTGTCAGTAGCCCAACAAAATGATGTTAAGGAGTTTGTGAGGAAAAATGGAGATTTCTTCTCCCACCTACCTGGACTGACGACTGTCATACAGCATGACATAGTTACCCAGCCCGGGGTCCGCGTAAATGTCAAGCCCTATAGAATACCCCGAGGCCAGGCGGGAAGCGGTGGCAAAGGAAATAAAGGACATGTTAGAGTTGGGAGTGATTGAGGAATCTCACAGTGAGTGGTCGAGTCCCATAGTGTTGGTCCCAAAACCAGATGGAACAATTCGTTTCTGTAATGATTTCAGGAAACTGAACAGTGTGTCCAAGTTTGATGCGTACCCGATGCCTCGGGTGGATGAGCTCATTGACAGGTTGGGAACGGCTCGGTACATAACCACCTTAGATCTGACCAAAGGCTATTGGCAGATTCCTTTAACGGAAGCTGCAAAAGAAAAGACCGCATTCTCCACCCCCGAGGGGTCCTTTCAGTATCAGCGGATGCCGTTTGGTTTGCATGGGGCTCCTGCATCATTCCAAAGGATGATGGACAAGACGTTGAGACCACATTGCCAATATGCAGCTGCCTACTTGGACGATGTTGTCATCCACAGTCCCGACTGGGAATCTCATTTGTCCCTCTTGCAAGCGGTCGTAGATTCGCTGCGGGAAGCAGGTCTTACCGCCAACCCCAGAAAGTGTGCCATTGGCTTAGAGGAGGCCAAATATCTTGGCTACATCATTGGTCGAGGTCTCATTAGGCCTCAGATCAATAAAATTGAGGCAATTCAAAAGTGGCCCCAACCTGTAAATAAAAAACAAGTCCGGGCATTTCTTGGAATCACGGGGTACTACAGGCGGTTTATCCCCAATTTTGCCACCATTGCAGCCCCACTGACAGATCTGACAAAAGGTAGGGGGTCAGTCATGATTAAGTGGAATCCTGAGGCGGAGACCGCATTTCAAAGGCTGAAAACAAGCTCTCTGTGCTCAACCTGTGCTTGTGACTCCAGATTTCACAACAGAGTTTGTGGTACAGACTGATGCCTCTGATGTGGGACTAGGTGCTGTCCTGTCCCAAATCAGAGATGGGGAGGAGCACCCTGTGGTCTTCCTAAGTAGAAAGCTCAACAAACATGAGAGAAACTATGCCATTGTGGAGAAGGAATGTTTGGCCATCAAATGGGCCTTGGAGGCCCTGAAATATTACCTGTTAGGAAGACCGTTCAAGTTGGTTACTGATCATGCTCTGCTCAAATGGATGTGTGATAATAAGGAGAAAAACAGTCGAGTGACAAGGTGGTTTCTCGCGCTACAAGTGTTCAAATTCACAGTGGAACACAGAGCGGGGAAGCTGCAAAGTAATGTAGATGCCCTCTCCCGGGTCCATTGTCTGGTTGGGACAGTTGCTCAGCCGCAGGGGCTTGAGCAGAGGGGGGGGATATGTGACAGGATGAACGGCGAGGTGATAGAGGGACGCTATGTGTCACCTCGCATATGTTCATACCTGACCGTTTAGGTGGAGTCCACTCCGGGTTTTCGAGGCAACAGTTAAGCAGGTGGGTCCGGACCAGAGTTTGGGCTCCACTGATGACCACCAACAGGTGGTATAAAAAGGGCAGGGCTGGAGCAAGGAGTTGCTCGTGGCCTGGGACTCAGAGAGGTGTTCTGAGAGAGCTGTGTGTATGGACTATACCTGCAAGAAAAGGTTTGCTGTTACTTTGTTTTGGTGACAGGGAGAAGCCCTTCACCTTTGAGAGAGGAATCATCTTTTGTTTAGTTAGTGCCTGGATGGCAAGGGTTTATTTTCATGTTCTGTTTATTTTCCTGCAAACCTTTTAAATAAAGCTGACAACCAGTCAGATTTTGATGAAAGCCTGCTGTGCGGTCTACCTTTGTCCCAGGGAAGGAGATCCCCCACCTGAGCTAACCCCACACAATACACAGACACATGTACACACAGACACATGTACACACATACACACAAAGACACACATGTACATGCACACGCAGACACATGTACACACACACATACATGTACATACACGCAGACACATGTACAAATACACACATGTACATACACACGGACACATGTACATGCATACACAGACACACACAAACACACACATGTACACACACACACACCCTATAAAAAAGTTGCAGTACTTCGTTGTTCACTCACAGAGCTGGGTACTGCACTCTAGGGGGAGGCAGAGAGCACAGCACACACTCCTTGCTTTGCTTTCACTGCACTCAGCTATTGAGCAGTCTGACGGCTCCCAGTGCCAATGACAGATCCAGCCTGAGTTTCGAGCCTGCTCAGCAAGACGGCCCCGGGGGGACACACTCTCCCCCACCATAATTTCCACTCGCCATTGGCGAGCAGGCGAGTGGAAATTTCAAGGCCTGCTGTAACCTATTGCTTGATACCCTTAACTTCTAAAACATAACTGGTTAACCCTAATATTTCACTTGCATTTTAAAGTGTTACTAAACCCACAACAGTAAAATCAGTCTGTATATGCAGTAAATCATACTTGTTATACTCACTGTGGAACCTAAGGGTTAATCCTCTGCATTGTAAAAAAATGCTGTTTAATCCTGACTTCTCTGATCCTCCACTTCTTCCAGTGTTTTTGTCAAGGTCCTACCTTTTCCCTGAGGTTATGTTACTCCATGTGCTGGCGTCCATCTTGGATTTCTGCTGTGCATGGTGGGAATCCTTTTATGCCTTCAGGTCTCTGAGGTCCATCCCCCAGAGGGGTATGGCTGATGACATATAAGCCTGTGGTCCGCACATGCTCTTTGCACTTGTGTCTTGTGTCGCTATTAATCTGTTCTGACTCTTGTGACTCTCCTGGTATCTGATTCAGCTTGTGACTCGACTATTCTTTGCGTTCTCCTTTGATCTGACCCTCTGTTGCTGAACCCGGCTCGTGACCTGTGATTCTCGTCTGCTGTCCTGTACTGTTTTGTCCTGTTGTTGTTGACCCGGCCTGTCTGACTACTCTTTTGTCTCTTCCACCAGCTACACGCCATTGGCGGCGGCCATTACCGCAGCTGAGGTGTCTCGGGGGCCACGACCTGGTCCCTGGCTGCGTCAAGTCCATCCCCACCATCAGGGGCCCTGGTGAAGGGCAGCCTGGGACTTAGACTCTGCGCCCTGAGGGACTTCGGTCTGTGGGTGGTGGTTGTCGTCAGCCAGTGCGTTACATTGTTAGGCCTGCCTGTCCGTTCCTTGGCCCCTGCCCTGACAGTTTTCCTCTTATCTCCTGATAAGGCATATTGTGTGGAGTCACTCTGCATATGCTCAGTTTGGTGTGTATTGCTAGAGAGGTTCTTTTTTTTTTCTTGGGAGAGTGCATGTGATCAGCACAGGGCCAACCAGTACCATCCAGACAGAGGTCAGGAGTTCTGCATCCTCCTAGAGCAAAATTAAAACTCCTCCTACAAGCTTTAACTAGTGTAGGGCTGCACCCATACTGTAGAGGGTAAATGTTTTGTATTTGTCCAGGGGTCAGGAAAAGCAGTTTTACTTACCTGATCCTAAACTCCCCTGGCACCCCCCCCCCCACCCATGAACACAGAGAGAAGAGGGATGCAAGGACCAATCTTGCACTGAGCAGCTTGTGAGAGTGAGGGGACTGGGTAAGTATAGCTGCTATGAGCATTGGTAGGGCAGACCTACTACAAAGGAGATTTTTTTTTTCCTTGAAGTCGGGCTTTTTCCCTCCCCCCCGCGTTCCAATGCATTTTTTTATGCATTCCAATGCATTTTTTCTTCAATTTAAATAGGGACATGTGCATTCCAGTGCATTTGCGGTGCGTTCCAGTGAGTTTTTGATGCATTTTACCACGTTGCAGTACAGTTCTGTGCAGAAAAAATGCACCAAACTGCACCAAAAATGCACATGTCCCTATTTAAATTGAAGAAAACGAGAGAGGAGAAAATGAACTGGAATGCATAAAAAACACACTGGAACATGTCAAACACGTATAAAAAAAATGTGCATGCGGAAACGCATCCGGAATGCATCTGGACTGCGTTTCTATAGTGTGAACCGGTCCTTAATGTTTGAAGAAGACCTAAATAATGGGTCCACTTCAAAATTCCTATAAACTAACTCTTCTTCAACAAAGAAAATAGTTTTGCTGGTAAGAAGCATCATTTTAATAATTGTAATGGCCCAATATTCAAAACAAAGCACAGTACAATAACAAGAGTGGAAAATAATGGTCTATGAATAGCTCGCCACTTTAAGTTTTATCATCAATAGTGTCAGATTACATATAGGTTTTGTTTACTAATCAGGAGAAGACTGTCAAATACCAGGATCTGTAAAAGGAAAACATTGTGAGCTTAATTAATCTCAGCAATGAATAAAAGCTCTACACCAGGATACAAATATGAATTTTAATGGGATTTAGTCTCTTTAGATAACCAGAGGTCTGATCAGCCTATTCTCACTGCTACTCATGGAAATGTATTTATTTATTATAGGTACTTATAAAAGCACGCTGCCAGTTTATGCACTTTACACTGTATTTTGTACATTCACATCAGTCCCTCCCATTGAGGTGCTTACAATCTAAGGTCCCCCATTCACGCATACTATACTAGGGTCAACTTTAGACAGGATCCTGTTAACCTATCAACATGTCTTTGGAGTGTGGGAGAAAACCCACACAGGTACAGTGAGAACATGCAAACTCCGGGCAGGTGGTGCCGTGGCTGGGATTTGAAACAGCAACCCTCATGCTGATAGGCAGTAGTGCTAACCATTTAGCCACTGTGCTTAAGAAGGTGAACCAAGAATGTAAAGCGGATATGGAATTACACTCATAATATATTACTACAATACACGATTACCTAAATAAAAGAACATCAATGGCTTTAATGTAAACAGAACATCAATTACTTTATTTGATCACTATGTAAGGCTACCATAATTTTTTGAGACAATAACCTGATTACAAATTATTTTAGATCTACATAGAATATAGCATATCAAAATATTATATCGCTCCAGGAACAAACTATTTATTTTCATGTTAACCTCTTCCCGACTGCCCTATAGCAGAGCTACTGCTACAGAACGGCAAGGCTGTGCAAAATCACGTATATATACACCGCCATTGGCAGCTACAGCTGTCGATCACCTGGTCCTGGTCGTAGATTTCCTGCCAGCCCCCGGTGATTGCCGAGGAACACTGACAGGGGAGAGGTCTGTATGTAAACAACACAGATCTCTCCCCTGTCAGCACCAGCATGCTGCTTTGTATTACTCTGCTTACATAGTAAAACAGCACACAGCACATAATGTGAAACACACACAGCACACAGTTAACCCGTTGATCACCTCAGATGTTAACCCCTTCCTGCCCAGTGTTATTATTACAGTGTCAGTGCTTTTTATTAGCACCGATCACTGTATTAGTGTCACTAGGGATGTCAGTTCCACCGCAGTGTCAGAATGCCCACCGCAGGCCTGCTATAAGTTATGGCAAAATTTGATTTTTAAATTTTTTTTTACTGGGTATGTTTTATAGCAAAAAGTAAAAAATATTGTAGTTTATTTACAATTGTCAAAATTGTTTTTTGCTTATAGCGCAAAAAAAAAAAAAAAAACGCAGAGGCGATCAAATACCACTGAAAGATAGCTCCATTTGTGGGAAAAAAAGAGCATAAATTTCATTTGGGTGCATTGCTGCATGACTGCACAATTGTCAGTTAAAGTAACGCCGTATTGCATATGGCCTAGTCAGAAGGGGGGTAAATCCTCTTCAGGGCAGGAGATAAAATACTAGATCAAATGTACATATATTTAGGGCAGGTCTTGTTTAGTTTGGTGCAGCTTCTTTTTGTTCAGTATATGGAAGGTATACTGCAGAACGGGGGATAGTTTAGTTTTAGAGATTACTTTGGAGATCAAGTATTTTTTAAGTCAGGCATCAGAGGTATACCTATCAAATTTAGGGTGAGGGTCAGTTTCTAAAGAGTTATTTAAAGTATATGTAATCCCATTCTTTAAAGTCTCATATAAGTTTTAACGTGTAATTTCAAACGGTAAATTTACATATTTTTAAACCGATAGCCTTTTTATTAATATTATCTGGTGATCCAGCCATGCATGTACTTAGTTAGATGCTTTATATTATAATGTGACAACCCAATAATCCCTGTTTGCCAATTGTGCTCCTTTGCTGTCACCCTGCCACATGGGCTTCCGATGGACACATTTAGCCCCATTATGCAGGCACAGTCCACTGTTATCATTACTGGAAACCTGCCCTGAAAATTGCCATGTATCTATCACCACAGTGAACATATTCAAACAGGTGGAGTTTTTTTTTTTTTTTAATTAACCAGTGGGTTTAACGAAAACAAAAAAAACAAAAAAAAAAAACACAGATCCCCATATCCACACAAGCAATGTGAATGCAGGGATCTCCCCCAATGAGCTATTATATTCTGACAGTGGGGACTCCCCCCCTTCGTTAGAGTACACAAATCAGCACTGCAGCCATTGGCTACAAGCACTGATTGAATGCTGGTTTTCAATACACCAGCTTCTGTTGAACAAACAGGGGTACACACAGGCTGAAATTCCTCCATTTTAGCCATCCATGCATACCATACTTTACCTGTTAGGGTTAGGATAAATGTTGAAGCTTAAGCGTTTAGATACAGGTTAAGAGTTCAATGTTTGGGGGGTGTTAAGCATATAATCATTGCTTTAGGAATGATTAAGTATTCAACTAGGGAAGTATTTAGTGCTAGGAGGATGCTTTAGAGCAGGGGTGTCAAACTGGCGGCCCATCATGCCTCTTCCTTTGGGAGTCAAGCTTGTAACTGTCAATTCCGCAATGCCTCATGGGACTTGTAGTTTGGCAATAGTTTGACACCCGTGCTTTAGGGTATGGCATGCATTTTTTTTTGTAATAGCTATCAGGGGATCTTCTCATTTTTTACTTGTTGGTGCCAAGATCCTTGCACCAAAACTAGCCAGCACTTGGCTCTTGGAATCAAGAATAATTGTATGGTAAAATATGTTGTCTTTATAACAGAATGGGCTTCAAATAATATATTCAGCAACATAAAGATTGATATTATTACACTCGTCAATAAGTATTTCTGCATAATATATCTGTCATTATATTATTTTATTACGAAAATGAACATATTTAGATATCCAGAGTACAGGGAAATGCCAGACTTGGAAGTATAGCACAACAAATGCAGTCTATGTTTATGTCTTTGTTTATGTACTTAAAGAGGACCTGTACTGTGAAAGCTGTGTTCAAAAGGGTAAAGCAAAGGACTAGTCACCAGTATTGCCTGTGTTATTCCTGAAGCTGGTCTTTTCTTCATTAGTGAGTAACCATGTCTTGCTCCACATTGTCCCTGTGTAGAAGCAACCATCTTGGTAGAGGAGCTTTACTTTCTCATGTCAAACCTGCCCCCCCCCCCCCCCCTCAGATGACAGTGATCAGATGACAGTGGGGGTAATATTCAAGAAGCAAGAGAATGCAGCAGAAGCAGGGGAGGATCCTTATGCTGAAGGTCCACAGATACCGCTTCCTCTCCAGCAAAGTAAACCGCGTAGTTAGCATCACCAAATCTCACTTCAAATCCTATGACACTAGCAGTCAAGATGCAGCAGTGCTTTAGGTGGCATCACACTACAGATACACTGCGATGGGGCTTTAAAAACAGAAGTGCCTAGGCACAATCACATTCTAGGACATACAGTATTTTTCAAAAGGCATTTAAAGCACAAATGTATACTTTCCAGATACTGCTTAGGCACAAATAACATTTCTAGATGTTCACTATTAAGTGCCGTTGTGTGTCTCCTAGCCTACACCAAACAACCTAGCACTGGCTATCCATATTCAAGTTATGATGTGTCACATCAACAAAATGTTCTAAAAATTATGTATTGTAAAACCTAACTGTAATTAACCTTTCAAATAATGCTCAAACTTTTGCAGAGCGAGGGCCATTTAGGTGATTTGGCAACCAGTTGCGGGCCACAATGAAATGAAATGGTTCAGAATTTCACATTTTTTTATTTTAAATAGCATAATAAACATTTTCCTCCTGCAGCCACTGAATGCTGGCGAGAGGGAGAGGAGGAGAAGCTGGTTTTCAGCAGTTACAGGAGCAAAATAAAAAGGATTGGTTTCTGTATACAATGCCTCCACCACCCCTCCCTGTGACAGGAAGACTGCACAAGCCTCCTGGATTATGCAGCGGGGTCACCATTGCGACCCCTGAAGCTACACCAGCGGTTGGGGTGTGTGTGGCAAAAACATGTCTCAACTATGGGTTTTTACCCCCCCAAAACACAAACGTAAACTAGCCTTTACTGTAAAGAGTCATTTGTAAGGCTGCTTTCACACTGATGC